TGACCTTTGTGGTTTGGCTTGCATGTGGCTGAGTGAGATAACTACTTAGTCTGAGTTTCAATTTGACAGGTAGTTGCTTTAGGGGTTCACCACGTGCTAGAGCGATAGGAGTTAAATTCAATTCGTGCATTTTCTGTGATAGTTTTTTTTTTTACTTAGATCGATTTTTGCATTTTCTGAGATCATTTATTATACTTGGGATTGTATAAATTTTGGTAAGCCACTTTCCCTACGGGAATCACTGCCGAAATTTCCGCAGATCCAAGGAGTTGGTCAAAATTTGACCTTTCAAAACTTAATTTGCCTAAATTTTATATATGACTTAGTAAAAATTTGGGAAGCCTCATTTTCTAAAGGGAGTGCTGCCCAATTTTTTGCTAATTCAAGGAGTTAGACAAAAAATGGACTTTGGAAAGTTGAAGACCATTTTTGTTTTTATATTTGGACTTATACGAATTCTGAAAAAGCACGTTTCCTACGGGAAGCGTTGCCGAAATTTTCTTAGTTTAAAGGAGTTAGACTATATTTTGACAAGTGGCGACTCTGACAGTCCACCTTGAATAGGGGAGATTCTGTCGTGAGTCTACCTTTCTTCAAGCACTGACTTAGAGGTAGACTTAGGCATAGTTAACTCGCTGGAGCTGTGTGAGATCATGATATGAGAATTGTTTCCCAATAACTTATAGGTTTAGTCTTGGGCATTGACCTGTCTTGTGTTACAGGCCAGCGTGATCGATTTGATTCAGGACTTGGACTAGATTCAACATTGATCCCTTGAGGATCATTTTCTGTTATCACTGATCACATGTCGGTTGTCAATTCGTCGGTTTACAACTCAACTCCAATTCACCCTCAATACTCAACCTAAAAGGCTTTAGCCCTGGTGAATTTTATTGTTTTATTAAGGTTCCACCCGGACTTTTATTGAATGATCATTTAACAAAGGTACTGAGTATTTAATTATGGTTGGTTGGACAGAGGTTGGGGTTTGCATGGCTAAAGCGAGGGGTATGAGTATAGAGATTGGTTGGAGTTGACTTCGTGTAGTGCGTGGACTCTTACTTGACTCTTTGATGTGATTGCAGGTATGTTCTGTGGTTCGGATTTTCGATTGGACTGTCTGCGATCACACATATATATATGGTTGTGAGGAGTCCCACCGTGATTGTGAGAAGTGATCGTGACATACTTATCCCCCTATATATAGGTGTATTTATGTTGGGTGTTCGCATGGCCTGAGTGAACCACGCTTAAAGGTAAAAATTGGGGTTGGGATCGAGGAAAGAGAGAAACCCCCCTCTATATCGCTGTATGCTTCTTAGGGATTTCTTAGTCGGACGTTAGTCCTGGGCCTGGATTCGAGGTTCTTGTCCAGGACATCCCAGACCCTAGACTCTGCAGGGAAGGAATCTTCCCCCGCGCAGAGTCTATTTGCCCTGCCTGCCGAGACTCTCAGCCAAAAGGCCGGAGGTCTCGTGGCGGCCGCACGACTATTTCTTCAGCCGTGCAATATCGTGAGGGAGCAGACCCTCACGACACTTCGACTCTGACACTTGAGTGTCATAAGTGGTACTCGGATCCACGAGGGACCGCTTGTACACCATCATTGCGACTGCTTGCGAATGACTGCATTGTTAGTCGATATGAGTAAGCTTTGTGTCCGCGCGGTTTTATACTAAGTCTCGCGCGCGACGCCTATCTGATTCCCGCATCGGAAAGTTATGGGATGACTACCAAAGGGACTAGGAGTGTTATCGCGTTGTTTATTCGTTGTTGTTTGTATATATGTGCATACGTGTGTTTTTTTTTTTTTTTTTTTTTTTTTTTTTTGCTAGAGTGGTGTGCGCATGGTGAGTGGGATACGTCCTAGCCGACCGACGTCGAGCTGCGCTTGGGACCTCAGCCCCCCAAAATGTCGATTCGCGTGTAGGTTCGATAAAGGCGTAGGACCTGTCTCTTATACACATCTAGATGTGTATAAGAGACAGCCCAAGATGTCGGTTTTCGTACGGGTCCGATAGGCGTAATACAGTGCGTACCCCCTATGCTACAACGAACGAGAAATGCCCTCGGTTGGTCCACCTCTGCGATTGCAACCGAGTAACTTTCGTATTGTGGATTGGTAGCTTGGCGGGGATACGCCCATCGAAGGGAGCTGACAACTCTCGCAAGGTGGAGGTAAGTCGTGCTTCACGTAGGCCTTATCTTGTCGTAGGGGCTCGCGAGAGGTATGGCTGGCGCACTCGGCTGGAGCGGCCTTCGAAAGCTCCAAGTGTGTTTTTTCGTGGAAGGTAGAGACTGACTCCTGCGTGACGCGGCCGGGAGGGTCCCGCACTGCCCGGTGTGGTGCCCAACCGATGCGCTCGACATCGTCTTCGGTTTCCGTTACGTAAATGCCCTTACAAGAGATATGAAAAGAGAAAAACAAATAAACGGGTTTGGGGAGAGAGAGAGAGAGAGAGAGAGAGAGAGAGAGAGAGAGAGAGAGAGAGAGAGAGAGAGAGAGAGAGAGAGAGAGAGAGAGAGAGAACGATTTAAATAATTTTGATGTAATACTATTATGTTTTTTTAAGTTAATATTGATTCCATTATGCAATAATTGTGCCTTGATCATACTGCGACCACTTGCTTACTTTAAACCACCAATACTCTGCCCAACCAAACTTTTATCGCCTCCTGAATTCATGGAGGACGTGGGCAGACCTGGTAGAGGCTTGTTACAACCTCGATGCATGCGTGGTGGTCGTTCCTTTCGAAAACGGAAACGGCCGACCAGAAAAAAAAAAAAAAACAAAGAAAAAAAAAAGTGAGAAAACGAAAAGAAAATCTCCCTCTGAAAACGGGGCGAGTGGGGGGCTGTTCCTCTCAAAGCGGTATAAGTTCTGGAAACAGAGACGCTCACTCAGTGTAAAAAAAAAAAAAAAAAAAAAACAGATACAGAGCCTCGCTGCACTATTCTCGAAATGTGCAAAACGAGATTGAATCTTCTGCTAGATTATGGAAAGATACACCCCCATGATTTTTGTCTTTTGTGGTTGTCTAGAGCTACGAAAAGAAAATCTCCCTCTGAAAACGGCGCGAGTGGGGGGCTGTTCCGCTCAGAGGGGCGCAAGTTCTGAAAACAGAAGTGTACAAAAAAAGAAAAAGAAAAAAAACAGATACAGGGTCTCGCTGCACTTTTCTCGAATGTGCAAAATGAGAGTGAATTTTCCACTAGATTATGGAAAGATACACCCCCATGATTTTTTTCTTTTGTGGTTGTCGAGAGCAGTGCAGGGAGACCCACAGCGCCAGGCTGACGCCTCATGCTTGGGACATGGAAATATAGGGTTTCGCTCCACTACTCTCTACATGTGCAAAACGAGAGTGAATCTTCCGCTAGAACACGGAAGGATACACTGCTATGATTTTGTCTTTTGTGCATGTCGAGAGAGTGGAGCGAGGCCCATACTAAAGCTTCGTGGCCCTTTTTTTTTCTTTTTTTTTTTTTGAAAATTGAAAAATTGTCCAAAAAAAAGAAAGATCCACTGCCACGATTTGTCTTTCGCGGTTGCTGTTGGAGCGTTCATCCTGCGAGATTTGCAATGGCCCACGCTGAAAATGGGAATGAAATTTATGCAGGAACATGGAAGGATACAGAGAAGATCAGCATGGCCCTGCTGAAGAATGATGACTTCTGGCAATAAAGCTATTTACGACTCTCTGACTACGAGTCCGCCATCCGTGCCTTCGCCTGCTCCTCTGGCAGGAGCAGCCACCCTATGGGGAAAAAGAAAACGTACGACAGAAAAAGGAAGAAGGGAAAAAAATAAAATAAAAAAGGGAGGGAAAAAAAACGAAATAAGCAGCACAGAAGTACTGGTCGCCAGCATTGAAGGACCGGTCAGCCCTATATCACGACCAGTTGCAAGCTGCGTTCCCATAAGACGAAGAGGTTCGGTAGCTTGCCAACAACAAGGTTTGGGAAGGCTGCTTCGGGGGTACTGGTGGTTTAATAGAACGAAAAATCTTCATATGAAACTTTTTTCTTTGTATACTCGTGTTCGTCTTTTTGTATTCTTTGCCCTTTTGTTGCTTCTTTTTTTCTCTCTCTCTCTCTCTCTCTCTCTCTCTCTCTCTCTCTCTCTCTCTCTCTCTCTCTCTCTCCATCTCTCTCTCTCTCTCTCTCTCTCTCTCTATCTATCTTTTTCTTTCTCTCTCTCTCTCTTTGTCTATCTGTGTCTCTCCTCGCTCTTTCTCTTGCTTTTTTTTTTTTTTTCCACTTTTCTGATTCGTGAATTAAACTCGGACTTCGTAGTCAGTTACTCTTATTCCTGCGGTGGCCCGCACCGCCCGCACCACGGGCGCTTAGCTAGTAATGATAATGAATCAACAAAAAAAAAGAAAAAAAAAAGGGTGCACTCTTGAACTCAAGTCACCTCCGGGAGGTGACTTGAATTCAAGGGCTATTTTGTCTGGGCCAACCTGGGTTTTCAAGGTCGCGCCCTTGGGAGGCAAAAATGTGAAAACAAAGCGGGGGCGGGGTGGAACGATGATTTTTTTTTTTTTTTTTTCGCTCTTGAACTCAAATGGTGTGGAATAGCCCCTTCACCCTCTGGCCGGTGCTACAGCGCTTGACGCGGTATATTAGTGGCGGAAGGAACCCCATTGTTCTGGCGATCAGCCTATCGAGACGGGCGTGCCCTGCTGAAAGACTGCGGGAGTAGAGAAGTTGACGTCCCGTTACCTCACGTCGCCAGCCATGCCGGGGCAACGTTGCCGGCCAACACAAGTTAGCGTCGGGGAAGCAGGGGCAGCGTCGCCGGTCGGGCCCAGATTGGGCACGTGGAGCGCGGGCTGCAATGCCATGTGACATTGCGCGATAGGAAGCAAAAAGCACAGGTCTGTTGTATTTGTACAGCATTCAGCGCTCGAGCCACGCGAGGCAGACGCACTCAGTGCTGGTTGCGCACGCGTGTCCTCTGCACGAATAACGGGTCGGTCGGTATTGGACGTGGCGCGCTCTTCGAGGTGCTTTCCCGACGGAAACTGGCGGGGTGTGCCGTAGCGTTTTGTACTCTGCGCGGGATTGAATCAATAACAGGCCTGATTGCATTTGTCGTCGCCTGCTTTTGCTGCCATCGTGCAGCGGCATCTTGATGGACGGTCTATGGCGGTAGCGTCGTAGAATGGGTGGCGGTTTCCACTCGTCGTGTGCACAATCACCATGGCCAGCCTCGTCCCGGAATATCACGCGCAAGGAGCGAATACAGATACGATCATCGTCGCTGGTGAGTTGCTCGTCTCTCCTGCCCTCCCCCTTTCCTCATCCACGCTGTGATGTTAGAGCATCGCCCCCCCGGTTTCCTCTCGACAAACAAGAGCATGATCCTCAGCCGTATTGCAGCGCCTCGTCAAGTGTCTCCCATGCCTTCGTTCATGTGTTTCATTTTTTTTCTACCGCCTAATGCGTCAAGCATGTTCGACCCTCCTTCGCAGAACAGAAGGCATGGTGGTCATCATAGCTGTGTACATAGGGCACTTTTCAGGCCAGATACAGCGATAATGACCATGCTTTTCCTTCGGGGGAAGACCGAAGTGCGCCGGTATTCCTTGTGTAAAAAATGCCTAACACATCAGGAAGGATTTGCCGCCCAGGTGCGGAGATGACGTGACACCGGAGGTTCCCGATCAAAGAATTGCACGACAGAAATGAGGCAGCTTCCGGTCTAGGGAGGCGATGAGATGCTGCTTCTGCTGCTGCTGCTGCTGATGATGATGATGATGAGAGGGGGGGAAAGGGATGCGGGATGATTGGGGGCCATTTCAACGGAAACTGATGATTGCGATTATGGAACTCACAGAATGCGATCGATAACGACACTGAAGGATTTAAAGGCTGGTTAGTCGATGCTGGTTGCGATTGACTTGGAGCGCACTGCCCTCGACCATATTCGTGGGCATGTGTTCGATGCTTGTATTCGAAACGATTTGGACTTTGTTGCCATGGGCAGAAACGGCGCGCAGCTGCAAATGGAATGTAATTCGCGCAAATGAATGACCACAGCCTCTTGTGTCCGACTCTCTCGGCTGTCCTCTCCCGTTCCTTCCCTCATTCCACCTCCCTACATACCTCTGACCTCTCTTCTTCGACTCGGTACCTTTTTTCTTGGCAGTGGAAGATGCTTGGAATGCGTGGCCGCTGGTGAAGGAAGGTTTTGAGTCACGGCTCCCTATTAAGCGGGCGACATTGAACAACAAAACAAGAAATCCGGTGGTCGTCGATGCGCTACCAGTCGAATATGTATTGTCTACCAGTCCTCGATCCCGGAATCGGCAGGACAAGTCGCTGCACTGGTTTCGCAATCCTTACGCCGTTCTATATTTGGTGCTTTGCGAGGTGAGTGCTCATGGTCCTCCTCTCTTTTTCTCTCTTTGTTTTCCTTTCTTTCCTCTTTCTCATTCTTTTTCTTTCTTTCAAATGACTGTATGCCCCCTTCCTCCCCGAAGGTTTCCCCCCTTTTACTCCTACTTATCTGCCTCTTTCTTCTTTGACTTGTGTACTTCTCTTTCCCCGAAACGCACCTTGTGTCTTGTCATGTTCTGTGTTTCTTGATCGCTTTGACGGCCTCTCTTCCTCGTGCCATGTCAGTGAAAGTGCCCATGTGCAGACTGATTATCTCTTTTCTTGTGTTTTGTGGCCGCTTGTTATCGCTCTCGATCCCTTTGTACTAGTTTGTCTCTCCCGCTGTCGAAACTCTCCTGTTCTCACACCTTCCCGTTATGGTGTCCCCAAGTAATCACTCGCTAGCCTACTACAGGCAATAACTCCGCGGACTTATGGATCTCCTTGTCTCTTCTCGCGTTCTCTCCCCGCAGCCATCTTCGTCGTGTTCCTGGTCTCCTTCTCCTCATTGTTCGTCCTCTCATTTACCGCTCTCTTGTTTTGCTTTTCCTTTTCCTCTGTGTTTCTCCCTCTGTATCTCTCAGGCTTATCGTCATCGCTTCCTTTCTTTTCTTACTCCTTTCTTCTCCCTCCCCCTCCGTTCCGCGCTTCTCAATTCATTGGAGGGGGAAAGAGAGGAATGAACTATGCAGCTTTTTACTCGCTGAACTCCTCTGTGGCTCCGCCTCTGTCGCGGAAACGTTTCTTTTCGGTTTGGTTCCGCCCTGATTTTTTTGGTCTGTCTGTTGCTCCTCTGATCAATAGAATTCTGTCTGTAACAATGAGGTCTGCAAGGGGAAGGAAAATGT